GGCCCTTGCTTGGAGGCTGCAGCTTCCACAGCCAAGGCAGTGGAACAAGGGGTGTCTCTGCACAGGTCCTCTAATCTGGACAGCGACTGGAGCAAACTGGGCTTCATCACAGGTTCAAAGGGCTATGAACCGTCGCGGGTGACATGTGAACAGGGCTTTGCTTCTCGCCCTTGCAGAGCAGGCATGTTTTAGAGATGGAGTGGGCAGAAGGGGATAGTGACACAGCTGACTTCGCCACAAGTCGTGACATACTGACACTAGCCACTGATGAGTCAGTACCAGGGCACCTAGATTCAAGCAAACCAAACTTTTGGATTGTTTCCCAAAAGCAGCAGTGGTGTCGAATACAAGAAACGTGCCTGTTGTTGAGTCAGTGCTGTCTCCAGTAATGTGTTCTCAATATTTATGAAGCAGCAGTTACCTGTTTCTCTCTCTGGCCTGTGATCTCTTCCCTCTGTTGGGGTCTGATGATTTGCTAGAAATGGGGATTGAAGACACTACAGATTTGTTCCCTTTTAAAAGAAAACCTATTTTCTTTGTAATTATACCTAAAGAGGGAGGTGATGCCCCTGATCAAATGAAGCTAGTGCTCATGTGAGGAAATACAATCCCTGTGTAGGGCTGGGAAGATCCTAACTGAGGACTGCTCTGGAGCTTTTGCTGGCCAGAGACTCCAAGGAGACGTTTTTGTAAACTGCTGGGATAAGCCAGTCTACTAAGGAGAATTTAATGCTGTTGGGCAGTCACACGAACTCATCACATCTCTGCATATTGCAACACTCTTAGGTGGTTGTTGCAAAGATAAAAAACTCACACAAATTTTTCCTACCACAGCAAAGAAATTTGCCTTAACATCTATTAAAAGTCTGATAAAGACTTACTGGCAGTTCAGCTGTGGGCAAGCTTACCTTCCTCTTGTCCAGGAAATGCAGGACAGGCTTTGAAGAGAAAGAGCACGACCCCAGCCCATGAAGCAGCCCCTGCATACTGCTTTGCCTCCTAGGAGTAGGTGTTCACTATGGAATGATCTGAAATATTAATGAGCCTGGAAAGAGGATCTGCATGCTACTGCAGTCATGCTCAGACAGCTCTGCAGCGTTGCACCACACTGGTGTAAGCTTTTGCTTATTGTACTGGTCTCTGAGGAAAATTCCATGCAATCCTTAAGAACTCTTCTGAAATCCAATATTCCTGAACATAGGCTCGGCAAACATATTTTCCATATTGAAGAGAAAGAAGGAATTGTGCTTTTTTTGTTTTGTTTTTAATAAATGCCACATTTATGTTAGTTTGTTTGACAAACAATCTAACTGCCAGGAGTTTAAGTCAAGAGGTTTGTTGGGGGCAGGGGGACAAAGAAAGCCAAACAATAACAGTTATTTTCTGTAGGGATTAAATCTTTTTCACTCCACGAGGATCTCAAGACTTGTAACATCTCAGTCATGACTGCTGAGAGCAGGCTCCCATCTCAGCTCCACTTTCTAGGCCAGCAGTTTAATTCTGCAATGTGAGGCATGCACGTGTGTGAGAAGAGCCCCCCACGCTGTCTCTTCACAGTAGTCAGGTTTGGGTCAACTTGTACACATGTGAGTTTGCTTTATATTAGTTTGGGTGTCAGGAATGATGTAGCCACAGAAATTCTCAGCTCTGTGCAGTCTGCAAGGGTGCCTCCTGTGGGATGCATCCTCCTGTACCAGACCTGCACTGATAGTGTCTGTTACTGCCACACAGGTGCAGAGCTCCCTCTTCCAAAGGTCGGTCTAACTGGGATCCAAAAGCACAGATGTGTTAACAGGAAGAGCAACGAGAAACCGCAGCATCCAGCTGACGTGATCTGCAGCAGAGCAAGCATCTCCTACCTCACCAGAGGTGGCGCTTCATGGCACCTGGGTGTCTTCAAGTCATTAGGGGGTATTCTGATGGAAATATGAGCACAAATCTGTCCTGTTCTTAACCCTTTGTTCTAAGTACCTTGAACAAATGCTTGATTTTGAGGGAACCATCTGCAAGTCGTTCTAGTCAGCTTTTGCCACACACGGCCCAGAAGAGGCTTGTAGATACAGAGTTGGACCCATGGTCCTGATGGGATTGGTACACAGGGATTTAGCAGGTTGGAGATCTACGAGAGGTGCTAAGGCCACATGTATGGGCTGTGGCTTCACAGGGCACTGTCAAGAGGTCTAATTTAGGAGTTACAATGTCTGTTTTGATCCACAGACTATTTGGTAGTAATTTCACTCAGTTGGTTGGGTGCAAAGATAAACAAACTTGCTCATGCCAGTGACCACTGAGAAGCAGCCCACACAGTTCAGGGCTGCAGGCCAGAAGCCAAAATCCATTCATCTACAGCATGACAGGGACAGTGGCCATGACCACTATTTGTTCTAACACAAAATCTCATTTTGGTCACTCTGGTTTATTGAAATATGTTGAATCTCTAAATCACAGCAAATGTCTACTGATGCTGATGTCATTAGCATAAAAATAAAGCCAGTTGTTTTCCACATTTTACATGATATTCTCTGTGCTTTTGGAGTTCTGCAGCACTTTGGGACTGATTTTTTTGCAGCAACTTTTTTTTTTTTTTTTAAATACATATAAATTTGGTGGAATTTCTGCAGAATTATATGTGAGGCTGCCGTGACTCCTACCTATGAAACTTTGACACTTTCCTTGGTGAGCATCACCATAAAAGCATCTGACTTTTTTTATAGTAATTATTTCCCACCTCTTCACCACTAATCCATTTCCATTATGTCTTCATGGAGTCTGCATCATTATCTGCATGGTCTAGAAGAAGGAGAAGGTAGCGGTGACAGGTTAAGGACCAATCCATAATAACCTGTTCCTGAACTAGAATTTACACCCATTTTACGGATTTGATTTTCAGTAAGATTGTTAAGGTTCTCCACTATAATCTGCATTTGTTTAAATTCTTGCTTTGCTTCTTGGATTCGTATCAGGGACTTTAAATATGTGACATTGATACTGAAAATTAGGTAGTAACATCTAAGCACAGAACTGCTTTATAAACACTGAAACCATGGCAAACTTCTAGAGACCACCTAGAGCAGAGCACAGTATTGGTCCCAGTATTTTACCACACTTACAGTAAAATGTATTTTTCATTATATTATGTTGGCATTTTCTATGTTGCACCTTGTGCCCACTGCCTGACCTCTGAGAAAAGCTGATCTCCGTCTTCTCTATGCTTCTGAAGGGACAGCTGCAGACAGCAGTAAGCCTCCCCTGGGCCTCCTCTTCTCCAGGGTGAACAGAGCTCCTCAGCCCCTCCTCATGCACCAAGTCCTGCAGCCCCTAATCAGCTTGGGATCCTCTGCACTTGCTCCAGTATGTCTTGTACTGGGGAGCTCTACACTGGACACACTTCTGCAAATGTGATCTCCCAAGGACCAAATAGAGAGGAAGGATCACTGCCACAAGGGCATGCTGCTGGCGTAAGTTGTTTTCTCCACTGCCGTACACTTCAGTAATTTCAAGTATTTTCTTGTAAAAAAAAAAAAAAATTGGAAGCACTGAAAGTTGAACTCCCTAAAATCTGCTAGAAAGGATGTTACCTCATACAGAATTTTTGTCTCACATGGGCAAAATTAAATAGTGAAATTTTTGTTTGAATGTTTAATCTGAGTTTTCAAATTAAAAATCCAGAGAGCCTAGATGTAAATGCCTTGGCCAAATACAATTTTAATAATCTCATCCTGGTCATCTGTTTGTGGAGGTTTACTTGGTGACTCAGTGATGCAGTGGGAAAATAAATCTTCTGTTCCCTTTTTACTTATGCCCCCTTTACACCTTTCCTACAATCAATTTCAGTGGCCATTTGGGCAAGCAAGGATGGTTCTTGTCTTAGCGTGCTAATTGGGAGCTGAGTAAAAGAGGAGGATGGGCCCACAGCTTATTTTCTCAGTGAATTAATTTTATTCAGTGTGAATTAATTTTATTCAGTGAATCTGTTTGAATATCTAGTGATGTCAATTGCTCCTGTAAAACACATTACCTCTTTTTACAATCTTCCAGATATGCTTAGACTAGCTTGCCACGAACAGCTATAGTGTTATTAAATGCTGAGTGCTGTGTGGTGACTGAAGGCAGAACTGAGCCTTTCTCTGCAGATTAGGACAGTGTCC